TCTTCTTTTGATACTTTCTGCACCATTCAATATTTTGCCCATAGAATCCTTCAATATTATAAATCAATGCTTGAATTTTTTCTTCAGTTCCCTCAGCTTGAGAAATGCAGAATGTGTTCTTCCATTTTGCTTTTCTAATTCTATGTCTTTGTACATTTCATTATAATACATGACTTTGTCTTCTCGAGCTGCCCTTTGAAATTTTCTGTTCAGCTCCTTTACCTCATCACTTCCTCCATTTGCTTTAGCATCTCTACACTTTAGAACAAGTTTCAGAGTGTCTTCTGGCATTCATTTTGGTCTTTTCTTTCTTCTTTGTCTTCTTAAGGACCTTTTGCTTTCTTCTTGTATAATTTTTTTATGTCATCCCACAACTCATCTGGTCTGTAGTCATTAGTGCCTAATGCATCAGATCTGTTCTTGAGATAGTCTCTAAATTCAGGTGGGTTGCATTCAAGGTCTTATTTCTTCAGCTTTGGCCTGAACTTGAATGTAAGCAACTGATGGTCTATTCCGCAGTCTGCTCCTGGCCTTGTTTTGACTGATTTCCTACCATCTTTTTCCACAGACATAGTCAATTTGATTTCTGTGTATTCTATCTGGTGAGGTTCATATGTATAGTTGCCTTTTATATTGTTTAAAAAGTTATTTGCAATTAATTACAAAATTCTATCATGTAATCTTCAGCTTCATTTCTGTCACCAAGGCCATATTTTCCACCTACTGATCCTTCCTCTTTGTTTCTGACCTTCTCATCCCAATCACTAGTAATTATCAATGCATCTTGATTGCATGTTTGATCAATTTCACACTGAAGAAGTTGGTAGAATTCATCATCACTGGCACCAATAGTTGGTGTATAAGTTTGAATAATAGTGGTATTAACAGGTCTTTCTTTTAGATGTATGGATATTATCACAGACAGCATTGTACTTCAAGATAGAATATACTACCTACTTACTTTACTTTTACTTTCTATTCCCATACTATTCTTAAGATACACCATGTTTTTAATATCTAATTGTTGTTGTTGTTAAGTGCCATCGAGTCAGTTCTGACTCATAGCAACAGGTTTCTGAGGAGCAGCTGGTGGGTTTGAACTGCCAACCTAAGGTTCACAGTCCAGTGCTCATCCTACATCCACATAAATAACATGCACATGTATAAATTACATAGCCCAGATAGAGATCTAATGCATGAATGGATTGTGCCATTTGCAAAACTATAATGTGAATTATTTGTATAGAAATATGGTATTCTAGTTACTCATTTATAAATTTATTTAGTTAGCTACTTTTATCATTTGTCCTAGTTCTTCATCCTTTTTCTTTTACCAACTGATTGAACTTTCCTTTCCATCTAGTTGTTCCCAACTTTCACTCTGCCCATACAGATTATCAGATGCTACTTTATTTCTCCCTATTGATTTGTACATTTAAAAAAGAAATTTAAAAATAGAAGTTCCTTAAAGTTCATTATGTAGAGATTGAGAATCTTTTTGGTTTTATCACTTCGGTAGATGCAGAACTAAACCCAGAATTCTGGTTTTGAATTTTTTTTTAATGATACAATCTGTTAAATAAGTAAATAAGAAGTTGCTACCAAGTCAAATCCAACTTATGGCAACCCCATGTATATCATATAGAGTGGTGCTCCCAGGATTAGAGCACCAGGATTTTCTTCCTAGGCACCTTTGGGTGAATTTGAACCATCAAACAAGTGCATTAACTATTTGCATTTTTACATCTCCATAAACAGAGCCTGGATAGCACATTGGGTCCTCAATTTTTCTGTACTCAAAATCAGCTGTGGTACTTTATTAAAATACCAACTCTTGGTACCCACAGCAGATTACTGAGAGTATGGAAAAGGAAAGTATTATTAAAAGGTACCATAATAAAGGGGAGCCCTGGTGTACCACTGTAGGATAAGCACTGGACAGCTAACCACAAGGTTGGTAGTTCAGATCCACCAGCTGTTCCTTTTAAATCCTGTACAGGGTCTCTATGAGTCAGAATCAACTCGATGGCACTTAACAACATAATAAAGCGTAGTGAAAGGGAGGGTCCTTCAGGTAAATCTGATATTTAACCAACCTATAAGTGTTGCTCTTGTGTTTGATAACTGTAAGTTGTCCTCCAAATCCTCCCGTTGGAAGTGTTTGTTTCTTCTGTCAGACTCTTACCCTAACAAATGTTTCTTTCTTTCTAGTGGATAAGGCATCTTTCATGGTTGGCAGTTATGGGCCTCGGCCTGAGGAGTATGAATTCCTGACTCCGACTGAAGAGGCTCCAAAGGGCATGCTGGCCCGGGGCACTTACCACAACAAGTCCTTCTTTACTGATGATGACAAGTGCGACCACCTTACCTGGGAGTGGAACCTGTCCATTAAGAAGGAGTGGACAGAATGAGAGCATCTGCCTGTCCTCTTCCTTATTCTTTGCCACTTAGAAGGACCCTTTCAATTGTGTTCATCCCACAACCCTCCTGACTGTTCACAGCTAGGCCCTTCCCTAACATTTATTGAAGCATGTTATCCCACACTGCCTTGCAAAGCAGTTCCCAGCACAAGAGGCTTAAAACCCAGGCTTAAACCCTACCCATTCCTTGTGACCCCACCCCCAATTGGGATCAGATTGTCAAAGGTTTCCATCTCAATATGCATTCATTTAATGATGACCTCTCTCCTTTCCACTTGAGCAACTAGAGGCCAGAAACTGGACAAACGCTCACTTATCATCCATTTACCATAGGCTTCAGTAGCTCCTTCCCATCCCTGCATTCTGTTGTGGTTGCTGCTGGCTCAGGGAAAGACCCTAATCACATTGTTTGTTGGTTGGAGTTCTTCCTTTGTGAGAGACACTGTAAACAGCACAAGAGACTAAGAATAAAACAAGAGCTGTATATTCTGTCTGAGACCCTCATTTCTCTGATTTCTGCCTTCCGACAAACATGGTAACTAACTGGATGGTTCACATTCAAGAGTCCCTTGGAGGGACTATAGGGGAAACACAGTAAAGAGGGAGCTACAGTGTTCTCTCAGTGAGAACAGGTCAGTTCCCTTTCCAGTGCAAGCGGCAGTGAGTATTCTGAATAAGAATGATAGAAAATCTCTATTTCCCTCTCTTTTTAAAAAGTGTTATCATGGAGAAGCTTTCCTAAATTTGAAACTGATATATCTCACTGTCTATAAGGAATTTTGTCTTGAATTTTCCACATGCACCTGTGAGCCAAATTGCATATAATCTCCTTCATGTAGAAGACTCATTGGATTCCCTTGACCTACAGAATGAAGCTTTTGTGCTTAGTATACCATGCCTGTGGTGATCTGGCCCCAAGATGTCTTTCTGACAACATTCACCAATCCCTTCCTTTCTGTAACACTAGAGTCATGTAGATTTCTTACATACCTTACATTGGCATCTCTGGTCTTTGGCTCCACTCTTTATATGAAACTCCCTTCCACCTTCTGTTGAGTGGCAGAATCTTAAGTCCCCAGGACTTTGATTGGACATCTCCTGCAGGAAGAAAGCACTCATTGAACCCACAATTGTGCTAAATGCCCTTTGACCATTGTCTCATAGTGCTCTGAGTTTCTTTCTTCTTTTTTCACTATGCATTTTGTATTTAAATAATCAGTTTATTTGTATATCTCTCCCACTAAAATACTAAACTGGGAAAGACTGCATCAGATCAGAGTTGTCTTTGTATCTCTAGTGCTTAGGTCAATATTTGACATATGATATTTGAAAGGTTTCTATTTAATTGAACTGACCTGACTTTCATATAGTTGGTTATGGTCTGAGGCCCTACACTGAGTTTGGTCTTTTATCTCAAAAGTTGAAGGTTCCCCTAGAGCCAGCTGCAAAGTTCCCAGAACACTAACAATATCACTTTAACTACAGAGTAGGCTGTCTTGAGTCCCAAATACAAAGTCCAGGACTTGAAGAAGGAACAGGAGGAGAACAATGGAAGCTGCCCAGTCCACATGCCTGTTGCTCTTGTTTCTCCTCACATGTGGACCACTGCCAGAAGTTGCTGCAGATGTTCAGGAAGCCTCAGGTAAAAAAAAAAAAAAAATTGAGTGATCATTGTGTGAGAGTGATGTTAGAGGAGAAGGGGGTGGCTGGGGTGTGCAGAGAGGGATCTTTTTCTTCCAAAATTTAAAAAGATTACAGAAAACACTGTTGCCTACTGCAAAGAAGGGAAGTCTGGCATTATCCTTCACAGTCAGGCCTTGGAGGGATGGCCTTAGATGTAGGAGAAAGCTCTAGAAGTGAAGTGGTTATGAATTGGGCTGCTAACCTCAAGGTCAGCAGTTCAAAACTACCAGTTGTCCTTTGGGAGAAAGATGAGACTTTCTGCTCTAGTGAAGCTTTATAGCCTTAAAAGCCCTATACAGGGTTGCTATGAGCAGGAACTAACTGCATGGCACATCACCACCACCACTAGGATGTGGGAAAAAGATATTCACACCGTTTTCTTTTCCCTTTAGTACCCAGCACCTTCTTCTTCTCCCTCACTCTTTTTCTCTCTAGATGGCTCCAGTGCTGCCCAAGAACCTGTTTGGCTCACAGATGTTCCAGCTGCTGTAGAATTTATTGCTGCTGTGGAAGTGGCTGTCATAGGCTTCTTCCAGGTTTGTCCAGATGCCCTCTTACTAGTACCATAAACAGTGAGAATGTTCTAGCTCAAGGGAACCTTGACAGTCACTTGCTGACCAGATGGTGCTGCATTAGAAGCAGTTGGTCACAAGCACATGAGCACAGAGTCTGCTTTTGGCTTGTCAATCAAGTCTTCTCTAGTCTAAGGATATACTCAGCTTCTGAATTCCATCTTCTTTGTACTTTCTTCAAGAGCCCTGAGGCTGAAGCTTGAGTTTCCTACAGATATGTTGAAGGTATGTCATCTGGCTATGCTGAAGCAGGGACCCAAATAAGCCAACTTTATCATTCAGGCAACAGTCTTCATGAAGTACAGAAGCCCCCCGAGTAAGCCAGCAGCATCCTGTCAAAGGTCTTTCACCAAACAGGTTGTCCCTTTTTCCTTTTTTCTCTTTGCCATCTCTAAAACGTTGAAAAAGGATGATCTATTGAAGGCATTCTCCTCCATCTGCTAGACTGGCTGCATGGCTAGCAAGGGCAGTAATGAAGAGACAGCATCATTTCCTCATTTTTAATTTTCTCTGGTGGTATCATCTGGCAGTCCTCCCACTTGATAACACCTCTGTTCCCCCATTGCAGTCCTTGTCTGTTTCCATTCATTCATTCATTTTAACTCACCACTCCCTCCCCCACCCCTTGCCATTTGGGTGTGTACACAGCTGGAAATAGCTGCTATGAGGCTCTGAGATGCAAGACGGGGAGGAAGACAGGGAGTACATTTTTCAGTGATGAGTGAGTGAACTGAGTTGTAGACAAAACAACCACCTTCTGAAAGGCAGGGACAAGCAAGAAAGGAGGAGTCTGCAATAATTGGAGCACCTACCAGATGCCTTCAGTTGATCCATGAGTAATTCCATTTGAAGGAACAGAAAGAAAAAAAGAAAAAGAAAAAAGAAAAGACAGGAAGCCTTGATTAACGATTGTTCATAGCCTTGAATGAACTTCACATGCTCCTTGCTTTTAGACCTTTTAGACAAGCTAAGTACCAAATCCCTCTGCTTGAATGCAGATGAGATACTTTTTAACAGTTGCCGTGAAGTCATTTCTGACATACAGCAACCCCATATGTGTCAGAGTGAACTGTGTTCTCCACGGTTCTCAATGACTGATTTTTCACAAGTAAAGAGCCAAGCCCTTATTCTAAAGTACCTTTTGAATCTCTTAAATCTTCCATTAGCAGCTGAACACATTAACCATTTGTACCACCCAAGGATACCAATAAGGACTCACATCCCAATCCAAGTCTTGTTAATTAAGACTATAAACTTTCATTTAAAATTTTATTTATCCTTCCTTTATACTCCTTTTTCTTTTATGGCCTCTGTGTCTTACATTTACATTTCTTCATTTCTCTGTAAATTGCTTCTTGTTGTTGTTGTTAAGTGCTGTCCAGTCAAGTCCAACCCATAACAATCCTGTATAGGGGTTTCTTAAGATCAGCTGGTGAACTTGAACCGCCAACCTTGCAGTTCAAACAGCTTGCAGTCTGGCGCATTAGCCCACAGTGCCACACCAGGACTCCAGTCTGGAAAATTCAGAAATACCACTATAAGCATAGACTGCATTCTTAGATGTTTCACTGGACACTGAACAAGTCTAAGCTTTCTGGTATGAGAGTCCTGGTGTGGCACTGTAGGATAAGCACTTGACCTCAAGGTCAGCTTGAACTGCAAGATCAGTGGTCAATTCTGGTTGTTGTTTTTTTTTTTTTCATTGTGAATTGAGTAAAGGTTTGCAGGGCAGATCATCAGTTTTACATCAATACTTCATTTCATTTCAATGATTGCAATCCCCACAATATAACGTCAGTTTCCCTTACTCCTTTCCAAGCTCTTCTGAATTTTGTCCTTCAGTAAATGCCCTTTTGATCTTGAATGATCTTGAAGTCACCAGTTGCTCCTTGGAAACCCTATGTTGGGTCGCTATGAGTCAGTACTGACTCGTCGGCAATTAACAACAATAATTCTATCTCTGTGTCTGTGCCTGACACCTGGCAACCCCGTATATGTCAGAGTAGAACTGTGTTCTCAGTGACTGATTTTTTCAGACGAAGAAAACCTCCAAAATAGCCTCAAAATGACCTCTGTGCTTTTATTTTTTCATCTTGTTTTCAGGATTTGGAAATATCAGCAGTGTCTGTATTTCACAGTATGGTGCAGACATTCCAAGATGTGTCCTTTGGAATTAGCAACAATTCTGAGGTTCTGGCCCACTACAACATTACAGGAAACACTATTTCCCTCTTTCGTGTGGTAAGTTGTATGAGCATTTTGAGCTTTCTCCCATTCTTCATTAGATTGTGGGATCACAAACTAGAGACCAGGGTTTCAAGCTAGTTCATTCTGGTTTGACACCTCACTCTATCCACAAAGAATTTGCATTTCTACTTCATATATTCAGAATCAGAATTTCTACAAGACTCCCAAGTGATTCTTGTAGATTTGGATTCAGTATACCTGGGGCAGAAATGCAAATTCTAAGCAGGAGGTCATACTGAAATGAGCAGAGTTGAAGTCCTACTAGAGACTAAAAGGGGCTTTGTCTCCAATACCAATGAGGAAATCAAACTCAGGAACATTGTTGACAAGGATGATGATTCAACTCAAGCTTCTCAAAGCTTAATGAAATGGCGAGAAGACTGGGCTGAGACTCAGGAGACAGATGAGACTGGAAGCACTACTTTGTTGTCAGTACCTAGTTGTGTAACTTTGAGCAAGTCAATTCTTATTTATTTATTTATTGTGAATTCAGTGAAGGTTTGCAGAACAGATCATCAGTTTTACATTAACACTTCATTTCATTTCAATAATTATAGTCCCAGCAATGTATTATCAGTTTATCTTACTTCTTTCCCAACTGTTCAGAATTTTTCCTTAGGTAAATGTTGCCCTTTCTATCTTGAATGGTTGACCATTCCAGGATGTGCATATCTAACCAATGTTGTTGTCCCCCTTATATACCTACCTACTGCTTGGCTGAAAATGTAATTTCAATTCTTGCATCTATAAAATAAAATAAGTGATAGCCTTTATAAGGTCATTTTCAATTCTAAAAAAATATATCCTTCATAACTTGGCAAGTTTATCTCTTATGTATACAACATTTTTTTAAGAATGAGTATGTTATGCAAGCAATCACAAGGTTGGCGGCTCAAATTCACCAGCCACTCTTTGGTCACTGAGTGGGAACCAACAGCACTTAACAACTTAACACTTAACACGACAGCGCTTAACAACAACAGCAACATGTTATGCATTAAACTGTTATAATAAAGGCATAATAAATATATCCTCCATACTTAGAGATCTTGAAATATAATTGTTGTTAGTTGCTGCTGAATCAGCTCTGACTCATAGTAACCATATGTATAACTGTAAACATAATATACAAGTGTCTATAATACAAGGAACATTGCTATGGTAAGGATCAAAGAATAGAAGCATGTGGTAAAAAACTTTATGAAATAGGCAAATGAACTGGGATTTAAAGGATTATTAAATGTTAGATATAGTACAGGAGAATTCATGGTCAAGGTAGGAAAAAAAACAGAACTTAAAAAGGAAACAATGATAAGATCAATTTGACTGGATCCCAGAATACATAGTTGGGGAAAATTACTGGAAGACAGGAAAGCTTGATTGGAACCATGTTGTAGAGATTGATGGATTTGCATTTAATTTTGGTTGGCATTAGAAGCTCCTAAAGCCTTTTGATCAGAGAAGTAACATGAAGAGGAATATGTTTCAGCAAAGTTATTTTGGCACTGATAAGTTGAGTGAATTTTAGGCAAAAAGACTAAAAGTAGAGAAAACGGTTGTTAGGATGGAAAAATAGACCACATGACAGGATCTCCAAAGATTAGATATCAAATTATGGAAAGGAGACAAAGTTTAAAGCCAGAGTGTCTAGAAAGAGTGAGGGTATTTACAGAACGGGGAATTCCTGGTGCTTTGGTTGATTGTTGGGTTTATACTGTTAGTGAAATATTAAGGTAAATAAAGACTTAAGATGAAACTTCTTTCCAACTTTCCAATGACTATTGTAAGTTGATTTTGATATAAGCCAATATAAAAAGAAACCTCTTTTTTTTTTTTTTAGTTTTCATTATTATTGTCTTATTATCAGCACCTTTATAAATCTGATATTTCTTTGTCTCTGGGAGTTGAAAACTTAACATATAAAATTACAGATATGTTTTAACATACACATAAAGATTACACAAATTATAAAAAATAATCATGGGTGGGGTTTATCATAACCTGAATATATCATAAATCAAGAACTGCCTGTATGTCAGAAGTCCACAGGAAATGAGAGGTTGAAGCAGAAGCTACAGTTTTCTAGATTACAGGACTGACTGTCCCTTTCTCTCTAGTTCCCATCCTTTTTCTCTCTTTTCATTCACTTCTCATTAAAATCTTTTAAGAATGTAATTATACTCAAAATCTCTAACTTCTATGCTCTTAAATATATTGCTATTCCAAAATATTTATTTATTACATATAAAGTCTTTCATGACCTGGCCACTACCTGTTTCTCTAATCCCTTTTCCAAACAGATCCCACACTCAACAGATCCCTCTCAATACCTACACACTATTCCATAATTTTGCCCAGGCTGTTGTTTCTGCCTTGAATTCTACCACACTCAACTTCCCCTTTTAATCTGCCATCCCCCAGCTTTCATATCTTCTTGAAGGTATGAACCTCCTCATACTTCAATGAGTCAGTTCAGGCATCTTATTTTTCAGAAAGCATCCATGGTAGAATCCTTAAACTGGTCCAAATATTCCTTTGTGGTTCCATCACTCTTTTCATTTACAACCTGATGAGGTATAGCATGGATTTATATGTCTTTCTTAATTATTACCGGGATACCTCTTTTGATTGCACTTTGCTTCATTGCACTTCTCAGATACTGTGTTTTCTACATATTGACGCTTCGTGGCCACCCTGCATAAAGCAAGTCTACTGGTGCCATTTTTTTCAGCAGAGTGTGCTCACTTCGTGTCTCTGTTACATTTTAGTAATTTTCAAAATACTTCAAACTTTTTCATAATGCTACTTATACACTTAATAAATTACAGTATAGTGTAAACATAACTTTTACATGCACTGGGAAACCAAAAATTCCATGTGACTTGCTTTATCGTGGTGATCTGGAATCAAACCCACAATATCCCTGAGGTATGCCTGCACCTCATTAGACCATGGTTTATTCATCTTTTTATTCCAAAAGCCTCTAAAATGTGTCTGACATTTAGAAATACCAGAAAATATGTGGGAAACTAAACTCATCTACAAGCATATCTGAGGGTACCTACGAAAACTCTTCAGTAGTTCTCTTTCCACCTGCACAATAGTTTTAGGGGTATGTTCTTACCATTCAGATCTAGGACTAATCAAATCCTTCCTTGAAAGGCTTTGGTAAGAAAGCTATGAAAGGTTAGGCTAAAGTCTTTAGGCTAAGGTTTGTAAGTGTTCAATACAAAAATTATAATCCTCTGCAACTCCACAAATACTTCTTTCCCTGTTTGTTGTTTATAACTCTTAGGAAAGCCTGATTTAAAATTCTTAGTACCACCAAGATACACAAGTGGGGAAGAAAAGCAAGTGTTATTGTTTTCAAAATCTCCACTAGCCTAACAATATCTAGTGGGAGCACTAGCTTTGCTTAGGATCGATTCTTTAGGAAACCCTGTTGATGGCATCCCAGAGCTGCTCACTCTCACTTATCATTTGGGTTTTGTTTACCACTAGAGACAGGCCTTCCGTTTTGGAAGAAGTGCAGCCAGAGTGCTCCTTAGAGGCCAAGGTGGCCAAACTTCATCTCTCATATTTTGGACATATTGTCAGGAGGGACCAGTCACTGGAGAAGGAAATCATGTTTGGTAAAGTGGAGGGTCAGAGAAAAAGAGGAAGACCCCCAATGAGATGGATTGGCCAAGTGGCAGCATCGATGGACTCAAGCATGGCAACAGTAGTGAGGTTGGCCCAGGATCAGGCAGTGTTTCGTTCTGCTGTGCATAAGGTCGCTATGAGTCGGTACTAATTTGGTGGCACCTAACAACAACAACAAGAGACAGCCATGCTCTGAATGAACTCTTGAGACCTCTGTGGGCACAACTATTGATATGCCATACCAAAACCAAACACATTAACTCTGCCCCCACTTTACTGGCAGGTATAGAAGGAACTCAACTTATACCATGCCAGCTTTAAGATAAACTTTTTTTTTTTACTCACTTTACAACTTTCACAAATTTAACCAATATTGTAATAAAAGATGATTCTAGAGTTTAAGATAACATTTGTTTCTGGACAGAGAACATCAACCAAGGCTATTCAATTCTTTCTTAATACTTATACTTTCATTATTAAAACAGGTTTAGGTTAATAGAAAAATGCTGCAGAAAGTACAGAGAGCTTCCACCATGATCCCCCCACCCCTGCACACTGTTCCTATTATTAACACTGTGCATTTCTGTGGTATTTTTGTTATAATTGATGAATTGATATTGACACATTTTTATTAATTAAAATCTATACTTTACACTAGGAGCCCTCATAGCACAGTGGTTAAAAGGCTCATCTGCTAACCAAAAGGTTGCAGGTTTGAACCCACCAGCTGCTCTGCGAGAGAAAGATGTGACAGTCTGATTCTGTAATGATTTAGTCTTGGGAATTCCATGGGGCAGTTCTACTTTGTCCTATATAGTCATTAGGAATCAGAATCAACTAAATAGTAGTGGCTTTGGCTTGGTATGGTGGTTATGGTGGTTATGTGCCGTGGAGTCGGAACCAACTCATAACGACCCTGTACAGGGTTTCTGAGGCTGTAAATCTTTACAGCAGCAGAACGCCTCATCTTTCTCCCGCAGAACAGCTGGTAGTTTCTCAGCCTGATTCGTAACCACTACGCTTGGCTTGGTATAGTTTACATTAACCAGTGCTATGGATTCCTACCCTTGGCAATCCCGTGTACAGAAGAGGGGGACTGTGCTCCATTGGGTTTTCAAGGTCATGTCCTTTTGGAAGCAGATGGTCAGACTTTTCTCCCAAGGCACCTCTGGGTGGGTTCAAATTGCCAAACTTCTGTTTAGCAGTTGAGTACCTAATCATTTGTATCACCTGGAACTTCTATCATTTACATTGGGTTCACGTTTTTTTGTACACTCCTACGTGCTTTGATGTGTCCATCATTATAGCATCATACCAAATAGCTTTGTTGTCATTGTTGGTAAGTACAAGAG